ACCTTTCTGGATTCTAACAACAGTATTAAGAGGCCAAGAGAGAGACGAAAAAGCCTCGTAAGAAGAGGGAATGCGTGTCGCTCAGCAAAGATTGCTCCACTAAAGGCTGCCTCTCTTTCTCTCTTTCTCTCTCAATCTCTCTTTATTTCTTTCTCCTTCCTTCCTTCCTTCTTTTAATCTCATTGATTCCTTGTTCCTTCTTCCCAGTTTTATCCTCTTTCCCATTTTTCCCATTCTGTCATTCGTTCTACTCAGTTTATTTTCACATACAGAGGCACTGATCACCCATTTAATTTTTCCAGCAAAAGAACATAGTGCAATAAAGTATTTATTTCATGGCTCTAAGTCTTCCATCGTGAATCCAGTGAGCTAATTATTAGGCAGCTACGTCTACTTCAGTATTCCATTTGAAAAATGGGTGCAACTCATTTGATGAGCACTCGTTTAAATTGTGGGAAAGGGACTGTAAAAAGTGACTTACAGGATATTTGAATTAACAAATTAGAAAAGCATTTGAAATTCCCCAAGTCAAAGGGCAGTGACCATGAAAATGTCTTAATCGACCGGATGATGTGGGCAATTCAGTTTGATCTAAATGAAGAGATTAAGCTTTATAGCAGTTTTTCTTTTCTTCTCTCATTGATTTCGACACGTCATTTTCACATGAACAGGATGAAACGTTTTGATCAGAAAAACCTTCTAATGACTCTAATCCAAAGTTTTTTTCAAGCCACCATTCTCGTTGTTGTCTTGTCCACTCTGCTTAGCTGTAGCCTTCTTTAATTGTTTCTCCCACGAATCCCTTCACNTAAAGGCTGCCTCTCTTTCTCTCTTTCTCTCTCAATCTCTCTTTATTTCTTTCTCCTTCCTTCCTTCCCTCCTTCTTTTAATTTCATCGATTCCTTGTTCCTCCTTCCCAGTTTTATCCTCTTTCCCATTTTTCCCATTCTGTCATTCGTTCTACTCAGTTTATTTTCACATACAGAGGCACTAATCACCCATTTTATTTTTCCAGCAAAAGAACATAGTGCAATAAAGTATTTATTTCATGGCTCTAAGTCTTCGATCCTGAATCCAGTGAGCTAATTATTAGGCAGCTAAGTCTACTTCATTATTCCATTTGAAAAATGGATGCAACTCATTTGATAAGCACTCGTTTAAATTGTGGAAAAGAGACTGTAAAAAGTGATTTACAGGATAGTTGAAGTAACAAATTAGGAAATCATTTGAAATTTCCCAAGTCAGAGGGCAGTGACCATGAAAATGTTTTAATCGACCGGATGATGTGGGCATTTCAGTTTGATCTAAATGAAGAGATTAAGTTTCGTAGCAGTTTTTCTCTTCTTCTCTCATTGATTTCGACCTGTCATTTTAACATGAACAGAATGAAACGTTTTGATCAGAAAAACCTTCTTATGACTCTAATTCAAAGTTTTTTTCAAGTGACCGTTCTCGTTGTAAAGTGCTTCGAAAGCTGACGTTTCGAGCGGTAGCCCTTCGTCGGAGCGAATCGAGGAATTGTGGGTTGTGTGTGGTTTAACATACAAAGAGTGCAAGTTTGCAAAGAGTGCAAGTTATGCAGTAGATGACATTGGCTGAGGTACAGGTGAAATGATCAGTGATCAGAAAGAAAGACGACAAAAACGCATCTAAACCGGTCGCGAGACACTTTAATCTCCCCAACCATTCTAAGCAACATATGGCAGTCTGCGGCCTTTCCCTACATCAAGGAAGCACGGAAAACCGTAAAACTCTAGAACAAAAATTTATTTCTCAAATCGGCACTCTTAATCCTCACGGTATCAACGAACTCTTTTCATTCAACTAGTTTATTCTGTTATTTTTCACGTTACCATGCACCAACCAATAGCGTAGCTCCATCTTTCTGTATATAAACCACACACAACCCACAATTCCTTGATTCGTTCTGACGAAGGGCTAACGCTCCAAACGTCAGCTTTCGAATCTCTTTACGGTGGCCAATTCACGTTAGGGAGTTTAAGTAGGAAGTTTTTTGGAATTGAACGCTGTCGGTGCATGTTTAGCCCGAGAAAGTTTTTAGACCGATAGGCGTACTCAAATTATTTACACAGTTCGATATTCGAAGGTAAGATATTAATTCATTTTTTACAAGGCGTCGTCCCCGTCGTCGCCGCCGTCATTGATAAAACTCCCTATTAGGGAGTTTAAGAAGCTACGACGGCGACGCCGAGGACCACGTCGAATAAAAAATGACTTTATATTTTACCTACGAATCTCGCGATACTCTAACGTTAATTACGGTGTTTATCACTGTCAAAACTTTCACGAAACTGACTCTGGGACATAGCAATAAATTTGAAATAAAAATTTAAAAAATTAACCGTCGTGGTTCACGTTCTCCAGACAAAACAGAATTTGGTCATTTCACGTTGTTGTTTTGGGGAGGACGGTAAAGAAATGTACCAAGAATTATGACGCACGTGCACAGCCATTGTTCTCCTCAATAAGTATTTTGTTTAGCGACGTTCCGTTGCTGTTGCCGTCGTGGTTTTCTTAAGCTCCCTATTATATAGATTTAGCCAAAGCTAAAAGCGGAGCTCCTGATCGCAATAACAGACGATAAAGGAAAAAGAGAATGATTTTTTCTTGGATCAGAAACTCAAAAAATGATCAATTGTGGGCATGTAATTGTTCAGCGTGTGGTTTTGCTTTTTTCCAGTTTAATTTTAACAAACTATACCCAACAAGCCTGACCAAGATTGCAGAAATTACGTAGGCAATATATCAGGGACTTTCCAAGAGACGATTGTACAAGGAATATGTCAGAAGAAAAGTCAACAACGCGCCAGGG